GACGAGGGGTGGGGCTCAATCGTCGTGACCGCTGTCCTCCCTCGCACCCTCTCTTCATTTCTCTACGTCATCCTGCGTCCGCCCCGCTTCCCTCCCCAGCCCTGCCCCCTCCTCCCCCATTTCCTCCCTCCCTCCTCCTCCGTCCTCCCCCCATCCCTTCTCCCCCCGCGCCCCCGCGCACCGCCGCCCCTCCCCCCTCTTACCTGACGCCTCGCCCGCCCTCGCCGCCCTCCCCGCGCCCCCCGCTGGCTCCTGGCCACCGCGCCCGCCCTCCCGGGAGGGGCACGCGGCGCAGGGCCTCGGGGGCGCGCCCGCCGCCCCGTACGCCCCGGGCTCTGCGAGGCTTGGGCCAGACGAAAGGGGGGGATTGGGAAAGGGGGGGGGGGGGGGCGAAATTTGCTGCATGCAGCTGGTTTCGGCCTCACCGAGGGGCCCATTCCTCGATGCATGGCCGCCTCCGGCGCCGGGAGGCGCCGGGAAAGTCAGCTACGTGAGTGGATTCTCATACCCCCCTTTGCTATGCCCCCTTTCGCCCGACCCGAGAGGCTTGGGCACGGGCACCCGCACCAACGCAGGGGGGGGGCCTCCACGGGGGGAGGATGTTCCCAGCTTTCGGCGCTGGTGGCACTCCTTCGGCCGCCCCGGAAGCCCGCAGAGTACCGCCGTCGCCGAGATCGGGATCCTCCTCTCCCTCCGGTCCAGGCAAGCCGCCGCTGCTGGTGTTGGTGCCAACCTCTATACCGGAAATTGAAACATATACATTGCCAGTGGCGGGCTGTTTTTCAATCCCAGGACTTTTTGAGGGTCGGGGACGACGCTGGGGTCGTGTGGTGTATACTCTCTCCCCCGATGTCCCGGGGAAACAACGAAAAATATATCCACCAGGGTCCCGCATACACCAGGACCCGCTCCCCAGTGCAAACTCCAACGCAGGGCCGGAACAAGCGTCGGTGTATAGAGCTCGACTCCCTATCTACAGGCCTCCGACCCCTGCGCTCGCCCCCGGGCGGGCCGCAGGCCGGGGCGCGCCCCGCTCGGGGGGCGCGCCGTCGGCGCTCGTCCCTGCTGGCTCCGCCACGCGCGGCCGCGCCCTGCGCGGCGCGCCTCGCACACGAGGGCCGCCCGCCCCCCGCCCCCCCCCCCCCGGGACCGGCGGGGCGCACCCCCGGGGCGGCCGCGGGCCGACGAGGCGGCCGCGGGGAGAGGCACCCCTCCATGGCCTCCCGGATGGGGCCGGAGCAGGCGGGGCTGGCGGATCGCGCCGCAGCGCCAAGGCATCGGCGACGCATCGGCGACGAGGCGGCCGCGGGGAGAGGCACCCCTCCAGGCCTCCCGGATGGGGTCGGAGCAGGCGGGGCCGGCGGATCGCGCCGCAGCGCCAAGGCATCGGCGACGCATCGCCGATGCACTGGCGATGCGGCGAGATCCTCCGACCCCATCGACTCGGACCCCATCTAGGAGGAGTCTAATCCCGGCTCGGACGGGTCGTCGATTGATCTGCTGGCTCTCTGCTCCCGGCGCGTCCGCTCCTCACGAAGGCCCCCTTTCCCCTGGATGGGCGGGCTGCTCGGGGGGCCCGGATCGGTACGACCGAAATTGGTATTGAAAGGATGGGGACGAAGACCGACAGCAGTTCCTGCCCAATGTGAGTTGTCCATTTTGGACGAAAGGTCGCCTGGCCGACAGCGTTCGCTGTCAGCGTTGGACAAAAATTGCTGTTGCAGCGTACCATTTTCTCCGTACCCGTGTCCGGCGTGCTGACCGTGGGAAGAGGCGGGGGAGCGTGTCATGAGCCTTGGCATGAAGGAAGTGGGTCCCGAGGGAAACGGGTCCTAGACCCCGGGGCTTTCTCCCCCCGCGACCAGCATTCCATCCCGAGCCGTTGGTGGCAGTCCCAGGGAGCAGGGAGGAGTGGAGGAGGGAGGAGGAGCCTGTGGGGGGCCCAGGGGACCTGAAATGAAGAGAAGCAGTCCGGACCCGTCTTCCTCGGGGCCCGCCAGCGGACGCGATATATAGATCCCCCTCGTCGAGAGCCGGAGCGGGAGCGGGGCTGGAGGCGGCAGCGGTCGGCGGACGGTGGAGGGCGGCGGTGGCCGTGGCGAGGACGGTGGAGGGGGCGGAGACACGGCGGAGAGAGAGAGAGAGAGAGAGAGAAGGAGCGAGCGGCAGAGGAGGGGCGGAGGGTGGAGCGCGGCGAGGAGGAGGAGGAGGAGGAGGAGGAGGGGGGGGGAGGAGGAGGAGGAGGAGGAGGAGGAGGAGGAGGAGGAGGAGGAGGAGGAGGAGGAGGAGAAGGTTTGGGACCGAGACCTTTCTGGCACTCTGGAAAGAGCCAGAGCGTTCTTCGTACAGAACCACTCGGACTCACCTTACACGTTGCTTAACAGAGTTCTTTCTCATCTGTGTGTTCTAAGCCGTGCATTTTGCCAAGGGGCAGACACATCACGGGAAAAGAAAAGAGCTGGCATCGACGCTTACGTGCACGAAGGGGAGCGTGTAGACTACTTCTACGTGCACTGCGGGCCAGAGATATCCTTGCCTCGCATCATTCTGCACAAAACATGGCAGGCAAAGGAGGGACACGGAATTCAGGACCAGGTGTGCAGTGGGATTGCGTGCAGTGTGGACCGTATGTGAAAGGGCACCACTGGCGTTGTTTGTGTGGACAGACATACGGACAGAACCAACAGCAGCAGAACTGGGCACATCACAGTGCTGTTCTGCAGGGTGGTGCTCATTACGGTGGATTGAGTTCAGGACGGGTGCAGGTGCGGGATGTCAAGTCCAGAGCTCCATCAAGGCCGAGGGCATCAGTTACCGAGCTCGACAACAAAAAAGCTGTGAAGAAGTATCTATCATCCATCATGCCGGCTTGCAGAACAGATGCAGAGAGTTCACCATTCTTCGAGCCTGCTCCGTTGGAGATTGAAGGCCTAAAAAAGTTCAAGGCGTCAGTGAGGCAGAAGCTCAAGGGTCTTGCTACTCTGGGCATTGCTGGACGGAACATTGGGAAGGATTGCCTTGACACGGTCAATGAGATTGCAGTTCTGAAATATATGCTAAGCATGATGGAGCCAATCACTAGGCAGCTCCACGAGTTACGCCAGAGGAAAAATGTTACCACGGACAGAATGAAAGTACTGGAGGGAAGGCTCAAATCTACACAACTGGACATACAGCAGTGTCAAGTAGAGTTGCAGCACATCAAAACCAGTATCGAAGAGCTTGAGGAGCTTGATGACTCGGACACCGAGATGGCGGATACGTATCCGGACGATCGTGGCAGTGGAGGAGGAGGCGGGACAAGTGCTGCAGCTTCGGGCGCGGCTGAACGCCCTGCCCCTCAGAAGATCCACGCGCCGAGGGGAGAGCATCGCACACATCCAGCAGGCGCAGCCCCAGAACCGACGGTTCCTGGACCGCCCAAGGCCGAGCCACCGCCGCTCGGAACGCAGCTCGAAGGTATGATGCAGCTTCTGTCCAACCTCATGGCTAAGCAGAATCACACGGAGTCGGTGCTCAACAGTCTAGGGAACTTTGTGATGCAGCAGGCTACGACGGCTGGAGCAACAGGGGCGACAGGGGCAGGAGGATCGACTGGAGTTTTTCCTACTGGGGGACCTGCGGCGGCGACGACAGGGCCAGCCCCCGAGGGAGCGCGATTCAAGACGCCGCCGCACAAGTCCAGGGCGGCGAACAGTCCAGGACCAATGAGAGCACCGCCAACACCAGTGGAAGGATGTCCAACTCCAGTTGCAGCTACGCCGGTGGATCCTTCGGTCAAGGTGACAATGCCCAACTTCGGACAAGGTGGAGATGGCGAGATACCGTACATGACACAGATTTCGCCGACTCAGCCATTTCATCACATGGAGATGGAGGATCCCAACATGCCAGCGCCAGAGACATCGGTTACGGACGGCAGTACGACGGCAAGTTCAACACCTGTGGGAGCTCCATATACAGCAGAGCAGATCGCCGAGCAGACCCGCAAGAGGAACGAGAGGGAGGCCGCAGCGGGAGCGGCCGAGCGGCCAGTGCCAGCAACACCAGAGGGCTCGGCGAGCGGGCTCACCGACGCGATGGGAGTTGTCAACCTCGTGAGCCAGGCCACGCAGGAGGCACCTGTCGACTCCGAGACGACCAGTCCGCCACGCAAGGAGGCAAGGACCTCCGCGTGAGGCTGGGATCTGTGCAAGTCAGATTTTTCCGAACAGATGAGGGTCCACCAAGAATCTCCCCTCTTCCTCACGTTTCTCCTCAGCGTTCCATACTCAGACATGCAGCATGCAGTATTGAAACCTCAGTGGGCTCATCTCGTTCGGAGAGCAGGGCATCATCCTGCCACAATTTAGTTTTCCTTGACGTTGCTAGAAGTGATAATGACACTTGTCAGGCTGTTGAGAATATGTCGGGTAACCACGTAGGATCCAGCCTTGATTTCTCAGGAGTTTCTTGGGCATGGGGAACCCCTAAGGAGTATGAGTTTTTCCTCCAGCTTGCTTGCACGTGTGTATGTGGAAAAAAGTTAGAGGTTTTAGTTTCGCTGTTTTTGAGCTTTTATCTTGCTAGGCCGTGCAAGTCTCCAGCTGAGGCAGTGTGCACGAGCAACTTATGTGAGTCAGAGTCCTTAATGCATCCTGGTTCAAATTTTCATGAAGCTGGGGGCGGGCGCTATCATTGTCTGATTATCACAGAGGGGTGTGCTAAGAGTAGATACACTCCTCCTTCGGAAGACAATGAATGGCCGCCTGCCCTAGGCTATCTCTGGCTGGAAGCTTTAGATGGGGCGGGATGGGCAGGAGTTAGGCGGAGAGGGGGAATTCCGACTACACAGGTCTTGAGACCCGACGCTCCTGTCTTTGTTCCGCGGGAGGCCGAAGTCAGAGGGGCTTGGCCTAATCCCTTGGCACCAGCTTGGAAAAAGGAGGTATTTTCCACTGACTGTGAGCCGCCCTGTTCCTTGTGGTGTATTGCAGAAGAAACATCACTTTTTGGGCGGC